TGTGTGCCCTCTTTGTCTCCCTTACCCTAACTTTGTGCCCTGGAATTGCGAGACGGTTACCATTCCCACTTACATACTGAGTGGTTCAGTTCCAGATGGTGTGTCCAGAGAGCGAAAGAGTGTGGCTTTTTGGACTGTTGGTATATGAAGCTGCTACGTGTGGAGAGTGTTATAATCCGGAGCGGCGATGGTCTCACTATGAAAACCTGGGATATTCGATGCTTAATGCTGATACCCTTGAAGATGTACACTGTCGAGATCTGAGGTCAGTGTACGTACTAATGGTGCAACTGATTATAATGGAATCAGAGGAAGGCTTCGACTCCCTTTCAATACATGAATAAATCCCTCGAAACTCTCTTTTGCGCCGGGGCTCGTCATATGGGCTCTGGGCATTCCCTTTTTTTCCAAAGATAACCCTCATTCATTTGTCAAATACTGCCCTCCGTATTCCGTATATATATCTCCTGCTTCAAAGATTTCTGTGATTCGCCCCCTACCTCTTCGCTTGAGGACAGGGTAAAATGGTGCAACGGTTACCATTCCTAGGCATGCAGTGGGTTTAATCCCCTACAGCGCGTGTATTTACGTCCTTTATACATTGTTTTGCGACACAGATGGCACATCTGCTAACCTGAGGATTCATTGATTCCGTGCTCGACTTCGTGAGATATAGCTGTGTACAGAGAAAGACAGGCAGAAATTTCATGAGCAGAATGGCTTAATTCAAATACAAAAGGTCCGGGTAAATGATTTGTTTCTTGGTTGGTGTCGTCGAGAATTTTATTAGAGATTACATTGACACTGAGGAAATCAAGAAGAAATGGTCGTGTCTCTTCGTACTGATGATATCCCGAGAAGTTATAGAGATAGTGTGACTAGAGGGGAGAAATGTATACCAGGGACGCGATGAACTAGCGTTTAGTCTTCCGAGAACATAGACGAGTTGGTTGGACAACGTGGCGTTGGGCTGCCGGACATCACGTGTATTGATCTGCCGACACAAATCGGACCGTCTCTTGTCCTTCATCGCTTTAGTCCTTCCCCCTCCTTCCGGGTCTCCAGGCATTTACGACGTACAAACATTCAAGATATTATTCATACACGATGCTGAGAATTTTCCAGGCTTCATCGACACCTGCTAAGACTGTCGCCTTCTCCTCCATCAGCGTGTTGTGCGACATTGATCTCAAGATTGCAGCGTGAAGATGGGCACGGTGAATTCTGCGTTAGCGTTTGCGTGCGTGCGTTTGCGTGTGCGAACTTGACAAAGATGCGTTCATGCGTAATAATACTTTTATGTACTTTAGCTATCAAATAGACGGAATGTAACAGTCTAACCTACTCGTAAAAGATCTCAGCACCGTACTTTGATACCAACAAGGTCTCATCCCATAGAAGGACACTCTCCCCGATTAAGTGTGAACCCACCTGATCAATCATGTGGATATTTCCCTCCGGAAAACACGTCTCGAGGGCTTCCAGGGATATTGGACTATGTTAGAGGTATGAAAATAGTATGAGCAATATAAACAGATCGGAGGAAAGAGAACCAGTTCAAGGCGTCTCAGCTAAATCTTGGTACGTTTCCGCAAATTATAGTGAGATACATATATCAGGAATCCATTGGAGAATCTCTCTTAAGCTTGGAGAATGTAGCCGAGCACATATGAAGTGCAACGGGAGAAGCCACCACAGTTCAACTCGAGTTCAACGCAGCCTAACGCAAACGTGACACGCCGTCACAACCATCGTCACATTTGCGTTCTCGTTTGCGTTTTGTCTCGAACGCATGCGTTAGTTTGGGCAACGCATGCGTTTACTACAACGACGCTCGCGTTCGATTTATTAACGCATGCGTGACTTATACTTGAGTTGCGTAAGCGAGTTGCGTCGATTCGAGAGGTGCACACAAGTTTTTCGGTTTACCAAAAGTCCAAAAAATGCAAGGGTTCACAACTGATTCAACGCGAAATGATACTGAAGTAAGAGGATTATGTTCTAAGACATATAATAGCTAAATTCTACGCCTTTATGGCTTTCCAAGATAGTTTCACACTGTTTCTATGTCATAGAAAGCTGCCGATACATGTCCAGTAAATACGTCGAAAGTAGGTAAGTGCGTCATATAAATACACATGGTAGTATTATTCTTGAAGGTAGACTAACTATTAGTAGGTCACGCACTTGAACGCATCGAAGGAACGCAAACGCATCCGAGTTGAACGCATTCAAACGCAGTTGAACGCACGCACGCAAGGGTCGAACGCAGAATTCTCCTCGCCCCGTGAAGATGCTTACACTGTGTCTACCTCGAACTTGGATTAATTCGCGATGCTGAAGGAAGCGCTGGATATCTGTGGAACGTGCGAGTTCTGGCCAGACAGCTTGGAATAGGGCATACTTCTGGTACGTGTATAAGCAGCGTAGCTGGAGTTCTAAATTGAACCATGCATCATTTTCACAGAGGTAGCGATTATATCATGATACGTCCACGCGTATACACCAGGAGGGAACTACCGGAATCCGGACCAATGCCAGCGAGTCACAGCAGAAGAATGTCCACTTGCTATAATTGGAACAGCATCCGATGTCGGGACACTTTGGCGGGTTGTGGGGCACAGTCTATGGTGTGTACTCGTTCTGTCTGCGAAATTCTCTCATCTCCTAAGCTGTGCAGTTGAGAGGATGCCGCAAAACCCGAACGCGACAAGTGCGCCTGATCTCCCATCCACCCCTCGCTCATGGACGAGCGACAGCCCCATAACTATGACAGACGGGATGAAAGACCAGCATCCTCACTGCCCGACGGTCCTTTCCGGTAACTTCAAACCTTCGACGGAAATCCGGCAAACACTGATGCGCATATAGCCAGCATATTCCGTGGACCTGTACTATCTGGACCAGTGGCATTGATCTTTGGCGAAAGTGTGTATAGCCCTGCGGCCCACCACGACATTCGACTCCGGGAAATAGCCCGCGCAGGTGACTTCTATCGATTCTTGAAGTCCGCGCGCTGATGGATTAGTAGCATTCGCCACTCTCTTTCTTCCCTTATATTCTACATCTTGATCAATCCATTCAGACTCGCCAGCGATTCCATTTACTACGATAGGAAAGAGATGCAGTACAAATGAATCATTGGATCCTCTGCCTTCCTGTTCGGTGCACCATTCTTCATCTCCTTCCCGCTCTGCTGTACGCGGTCCCGGTCTGAGCAAGAAGGATCTCCTTTGTTGACCACTGCAGTTACTCTGTTTGCTTGCGTGCTGCTCCACGCTCTTGACGAATATCAGTACACGCTTCTTCAAACCGGTGGAGCCCTCGCCTTCCACTTGCTTGTAAGTCCTACGTTGCTGTCGTCGATCTTTGAGTAACACACCGACCGTTCCAAAAGCCGGCAAGGGCAGAACGCCTTCTTCACCGACACCTTCAGCCTTCAGAGGCTCAGAAAGGCAGCATACGTCTATTCCTCTTGTCTGGTATTGCGACTGTTGCAAGGACTAGTATCCTGGGCAATTAGTACTATGGCAGCTAGGAAATAAGACGAACTCTGAGATGAAAACTAGGCCCTATAACACTCGACGGAGCCAGCTATACTGCAGAATCCATCACCCCATTTCACGGCCGTCTTTCAATGGTAGGATTGAAAAGGCACGCTCTCGAGCTGATGTCTATTCGAGGCACAGCTTCGCCATTAGTACAGAGATTTGCGAGCGTTCGAGCCTCGAAGTCGTCATCCTCGTTCAATTGCAGCGGCACGCTCCATGTATTTGTCGTAGTTCCCCAGTTTTGTCAGGCGGAAAGTACCTTCTAGTTGGCATCTACGCATTGGGTACTGACCCCCGATTTCTAGTTCCTGCCAGGGGTACCGGAAGAGCGATGATATGAAGCTTACCTGTTACTCGTTCTCGTGTGGGTTATTTCCGTTCCTCATTTTCTCGCCACAAAAGTACAGGTCCGGGATAGACAGCGAAAGCCTCTTATTTTTTCGTATCAAAGGGGTGGATACAGCCATTTCTTCTTGTGAATTAGGACCTGAGGCCTCCTTGTAAGGTTCGGCGTGTCACTTAGCTATGCACTTTTACATCCGAATGGCATTGGGCTGCTGGTATCAATAGACATGCCCTTTCTCTCTCTTCAGGTCATTCTGCCATTCGTCACCAGGAAAAAATATTTGGCTTGATACCTGTCCGGGTTGACTACGGTATTTAACTAGTGCAAGGAGGGTAAACCAATACAATGTCATCCTGCCTTCGCGGAATCTTTACCGGTAGCTCTTCCTCGATAGCCAGATAATTTAATTGACTTGTCACGACTCAAAATAACGAACACTGCCAACATAACCGCGATTCGGGATAACGCCATCTCTATTACGATTGTGGTATGTGATCAATTCCCTACAGATTATACTGTAAGCTAATTCGTTTGATCACAGCCGTGGTCCACTACCCTATTGACCTCCCAATGCTGCCTTCGAGCGCTAGCTCTACGAATTCAGCAATGTCGGTTTGTCCCTACGATCTCACACGCTGATCGACCTACAGAGTGATGTTCATTATGGGACACAGACACGTATAGCTACCCTCACGCGACCGATCCAGAGAATTTGACGATCCCATGCTCTGCTCTGCGATATCGATTCCCTTACCTTCCCCACATCGATAACAGATCTTCAATCTGCTATGCTACCCTGTAGATGCGCGACGTTCTAGCACAAAGGACGCACGCCTCATCGAAGGTGGTGAGAGCCTGCCATGTGCGGTGTACGAAGATTGGGATGAAGGATCGACTGGGGTAGGAAATAAGTAAAACGTGCTCGGATGTTGGCCAGCGTCGAGGGTAGGTAAGAGCGGGGATTGGAAAGGTGATGTTTCGAAGCTTTGATCTTGTTAGAGCGAAACCATCGAAATACTGCCTTTGTACCTTTCTATGCGCTATTCCGCTCTCTACGGAATATACAAACGCAGGTGGATGACGCCTACGGCGTCCAAGTGACAACGCCGATGGTGAAACGGTTATCATGCTTGTCTTCCATCCGTAGGACTGGGTTTGAAGTTTGAGCAAGCGGTAGGGGTTCGACTCCCTTTCGGCGTATGGCCGGAAATACTGACCTGTAATTTTGTTCAGGTTTTCCTATTGTCGGAAATCAGAATAATTCTAAAATTTACTGATAATCTGCAGAACCTTCGTTCCGGTGCCGGTTCTGGATTACCTTCCTACATGGTCAATTCCTTGCTGCATTCTTTCGTGTATGCTCTTGCGAAGACCGGATTGCAAGCAAGATCTGGTAGTATTGATCGTTTGGCTGTAAATGAACAAAATGGCTGACCGTACCGTGTTCTTCCTGTTCTGTGGTCTTTTAACGTAAAACTTGGCAAAAAGGTGTCTTTCCTTGGTCGTTCCAGTGAATCATACGAACCACCCTTCGACTTTCCTCCTTCTTCTTTCGGCACCCGATCTGTTAATCTTCTCCTAATACCCTGGAAACATTCAGAACAGACTTTCAATCAGTTCTTTACCACATTCTGGGCGAATGAATCGCCTCCCCCATCTCGACGCCGTATCTTGAAATGTAGTTTTAAAAACTAACCAGGTGCGAGTGCACAGAATCCGCCCGATAGAATTAACTCTGACATGCTACATCCACGCCGCACCGATGGCTATATGGTACACATATCAGTCAAGTGGAAAGGGTTCGAATCCCACTCGGTGCATAGACGGGCACTATTACAAGACTTTTTGCACCAAGCAGTGACCTCGATTCGGGATCGTTTCGCTCTACGCTCTCCTTTTGTGCAAGCTCACCCGTATTCTAGATGATTTCCACCCCTAGTCATCGATCCAGGTCCTCGGCTTTTCCACTTTCTGAGTTCTACCGCTGCCCTCATGGTTGTCAGGATTAATTATGGTTTGAGACCATGTCTTTTCCCAAGGAAACACTAATTTCATCCTACAAAAATGATGAAACGCAACGTGCTCGAGTAAAGGTATATTGACTCTATCGAAAGTATGAGTGCCTCTGGTATCGAGAGTATGAACGTCTCCAGAGGCGCTTATGACCAAGTTCACAACATTCGAGCAGCTGCGTGCGACCTGAGTCAGTTCTGACTTGTCTGGTACTATTGCATGTAGTTTTCTCAGCGGTTGAAGACGAGTACATGGGATTTGTATGAAATCCTCCGAAATATGCCTGGAAGAAAGCCCTTCCAACTTCATAGATTCGGTGGCTTTGTGCGGTAAGCATACCAAAGAGAGGTCGGTAATCAGAAGTAGGTATCTTCTCACAATATTTCATTGCGAGGGTGAAAGATATGGATATGGGGAGAGGAACCTCTCCAGAGCGGCGCAGGACCTCGGTGAGGATCCGTTTCATGATCTCGCTAGCACCCTCATCGGATGCTGACTGAATATTGACCTCGCGATCACGGAGGTAATGACGAAAGACCTTTATGAGTACTTCCACTGGAAAAACGGATGACCATGACTACTCTCAGCCGTATGAGTACGATATAGATCACTTGAATTAAAGAATGTACCGGTGGCTTCGGAAAGAGTAGCTATCGATGGTGGCTGTTTGACGTGATGTTTGGTTGGGGTTCCGGGCCGCATGCCGAGACTGATTGTGAAATTACAGTACCCTGGGTAGCCTTGGCATTCATGAGTTCTGAGTGGTGTGTGGCAAACGGTTGATGGACACAAAAATATATGAATGAGAGGAGGGGCGAAAATAATCGAATAGATTGTTCCTTGAAGTGCTGAAGAGATTCGGCTAGTGTTGTGAAAGGCCGGGCTTCAAGCCTTAAGCCCGGCCCAGCCCAGCCCGACCCAGCCCTGAAAAGCCCGGCCTGCTAGTGAGGCTTGCTCAAGGCTCGGGCTGAGGCTTTGCTTAAGGAAAGCCTTAAGCCCTAGGCCGAAGCCTTGGGCTTGAGAGGTGGTTAATACTAGTTCTTAAAGTCAATTCTTATGAATGTAATGCACCCCCATATTGTCTAATAGTTCGATTTACCATGCTTTCACGATAGAACTTATTTATATGCAAGTTGTCATTAATTGAGGGTGGTAGTGATGTCATCGTGGCATGTTTTCTTCATGATGACAAGTCCAATTGAGCGAAAATGGCTTCGTAGATACTCAGTGTGATTCAATAGATAGTATATTAAACCCACAGAGTGATATCTTAATGGATACTACATATAATGGCTCCAACGAGCCAAAATATATTTTGAGTCAGAAGCCCGGGCTTAAGCCTGAGCCCGGCCTGAGCCTTGTAAGGCTTGGGCTCAAGGCTCGGGCTCACGAATGTACTGAGCCTGAACCTGCTTAAGCCCGGCCTGAGCCTCAAAAGCCCGGCCCAGCCCGGCCTTTCACAACACTAGATTCGGCCCGATTTCGGTGATTGCAGTCAGAGAGAATCCAATCACAGATCCAGATCCTAGACTGGTACCAATCTGCCATATCGAAGATGTTTTTGGCAAGCGAGAAACATGATAGGCAAAGTTTCCCACCTGCCGACGACTTCTCTGGTAGGCAGACTGGTTCGAGTTTATCCAGATCCACCTTGCGCTTGAAGAAAGTAGAGAACCAGAGGAACTGAGCTCATATTATAAGACACTATATTTTTTGCCGAATCATTAAGCGGTGAGAGGATCGGCCCGGAATACCGGTCAGAATCAAGTCAGAATCAGAGTCGGTGACTTCCAGAGTTAGCTTTCCGAAATCGACCGGGGGCTGTTCCATATCACTGCTCTCTCCACTCCTTTCCGATCCGAATTGAACTTGCCTCTGATATCTAATGGTTTCTGCGGTTTACCCTTAGTACGGTGGTTATATTTAGGAGCCGTCTTGTGAACTCGACCTTGACTACTAGCTCTGGCAGCCCATTGGACAGTGCTTCGACAGTGAACGTCTCCCTTTACTTATCCCCATACGACTCACTCTCGGTTCACGTCATGGTATTATTGAAACCAGTACCATAGTTCACTCTTTTCTAGATGATTGATCTTATAGAGCCTAATTCCACTGTCGTCCCCACGGAATTGCAATTCTGTTTAGGGAATATCTGGAGTACCGAGTCTTTTGTAACCTTCCTTACCAGCGGTCGCCACGACCAAGCGACATCCGGGGATACAAGACCCTCGCTCCATCATGCCTCCTGCCAACGACTACGTACAGGACTGCTACTATCCTAAAAGACGTCTTCTTCGATGGATTAGAACATCCGATACAGTCTTAATCTCCTTCTAGCTCATTATAACCCAGACAACAATAATAGGCCAAATTGACTCATCTAATTCCCTCTACACCTCAAAAGATGACGGTTCTTTGTACTATGTAGACTAAGGCTATTCAAATTTTCACCTTTACTCCTGAACGACAACTCAAGAGCATACGATGAGGACTGTTCAGCCCGCCTAATGCTAATGCTCAAAATCAAGCCTAACACATAATAGCGAATCAGTTTCAGAATATTAGAACTAGCAGCAAGCGTGATGCATCTGCGCGTGTGGAGTCGTTTGTTAGCACCTCTCTTATTCAATTACTTAGAGTGTCGATGATCCGTAGTCCACTACTCGCCTCGCCACCAAGAATGACCTCTGTCTTCAGTGGGCAATATGAATCTGATAATTGAGCTAAGCTGCAAGGAAAGGTTCTAGTGAGTTTATCAATCCTCTTCTGCCATTTATGAAGGCCTGGATGGTTAACTGTTCATTTCTGGCGAGGAGGGATAGCGTTCAGATTCTTAATGCCATCCCTCCTCGACGTCCACGGAGGTTATTTCCTCCCAGAGGTATAAAATACCTTGAGAGATGCAGCCTATCTTCAGCAACTGCACCTACCATAGTCGTACCAACCAAAGCTCGAAATGTTCTTTCGCATTCTCGCACTCCTTCCCCTCGTCTCTCTTGCTACCGCAGACCCTCTCGTTGGTCGTACCGATTTTGAGCCCCTCTCTGATGCTCTCGGTAAAGTCAATACGACGATGAGCGAGCTGAACAGCGCTTGCACCACCTTTCAAATGGCGGCCAACGCCGACGGCGCCCAGGTACATTTAACTGTACAAGTCGAATCTCCTCCTTTCTTCTAATGGTATCAACCAGAAAATCTGCGCTAGAGCAACCGACTACGTTTCGGCAATCGAGTTTGCCATCCAGGCGATCCCGGTGTGTTAGCCTTCCCGCCCATAAAATGTGTCTTTCAGGTCTGAAAAATCCCAATCCAGAGCGACTGTTCTTTTCCGGCGACCGACTACGTGACAACGGTCAACCAAGCCAAAGATATAGCGCCCTCTATGCCGACCACTGCTGAATGCTTGACCGATTCGGAGCCCTACCTCCCTGAAGCCGACCCCGACTGTCCGATCGCCGAGACGATCACAATGGAGATGGAAGCTCTGATGGATAAGCTCTCTACTTGTCGTCCGGTAATTATTTTAACTGCTTTATATGAACGGTACAGAGCTGATGAGGGTCGTACATAGCAGTTGGCAAGGGCGAAGTAGGAGATATGAGCGGCACAGTTTTGACACAGATAATGGATGTCGAGGCCTTGGGCGTATCATCTATTTAGTAGCACATAATAGATGATCACAAGGCAGAGATTTCTCATGTAGAACTGCAGCACGGCTGACTGACTTCTCAATTATCGCTTTTCCGTATCCAAATAAATAGATCATTCGATTAATTTGTTCTATGTTCGCTTACATTGAGGATGGTCTAATATAAATCGTATGTCATGTATAATATATCGTAAGGTGGAGGGGTCCTGGCTAATCGTTGTTAAAGCAAGGCTGCTTAAACATCCCTCCAAGATGATGCTTGATAGTTTATGTTAAGCACCTGTGGGAGACATGGGAATCACACAATGTTAGCTCTCATAAAGCGAATATCGCGCGAACCTCATTTTTGACCTTGTCAATAATATGGGCATCAACGATACTTAGGAGAGTCTTGAAAAATGTCCCGGTCCGACGTTCCGAGTCTCATTCTTCACGCCGAAAGCGGCAGCATGAAATACGTGTCCCTCCCACGATGACGACAACACGAATTCTCAGTCAGTCGGGATCATGGCTGCTGTCTCACGGAGTTTTGAAGCGAAGTATGATATTCCATCTCTTGTATATGTAACTGTCTCTGAAGCGCCTTCAATGCGTTGGAGTACAGAGAAGGTTCGAGTTTGAGTGTCTGTAACTTTCGGAACGGTCGGAGAGTTTCGATTATCTGTTTGAGACTGCCACTTACCGTTGCCTATAACTCTTTATAAGCTCACGCATCGCATGGAGAACAATCTTAACATTGGGCACGTTCGGCAGTTATTTCGGCAGTTCTCGGCTCCTTCGTGGTGGATCTATGGATCACTACATAGCCATCCGGTGTCTCCCTCCAACTTAGCGATACGGTTTCAGCGTCTTTTCTTTGTGTTCCTGAATCGGATTATTATCGAATCAAAGTCGTACGACTTGTACGTCTTCTGGAAGTCACCAGCACCGACTGGAGCTGATATCTTTGAGTTGGCGTTGGCGACCTCCTCTGATGGTCTTGGTCATATTTTGTCCGTAAACGAGCTCTGCACAGGGCATCCTTTGATACATTGGAGTTTCCTGCAGCCCTGGTAAGTTCGGGAAGATGTCTAAATCTGTCATCGGATCGCTTTTGGACTCTCCCTATCTCATTGGTCATTCACCAAGCATTTCGAACCTCTGCATGGAAGTGAACATCGGACTCGTGACTTCTCTCTAATGCTTCTGTCCTCGGAGATTTCGTTCACTGACTGGTCTTAAATCTCTTCTTTGACGACTTGTAAAATACAAAGACCGCGCCATCTGGTCAATACGAGCTACGCAGTACGATGTTTTTTTTCGTGGACTATCTCTCTTTCCACTCGTTGTTCTTGCTATCGCAAACTCTCGTGTGGGTCTCCATGATGGGACTGCGCTTCAGCGTGCTTTTGACACCATGGATGATACGTTCGAAAGCAACATGGAGCACTCAGCGCATTTTCCATGCATGTCGATCTTTCCCATGCTACAGTGCTACAGTACGCCTTAGCACATGCTCGCTCATACCATTCACCTCATCGGTGTCACAAAGGCTGTAGGAGATCATATAAAAACCCTGGACTTGCAAATGAGAGATGCTGTAGCGCTCATCCCGGTATGGTTACATCCCAAATAGACATGCATAGCTCTGACGATACTTACACAGGACCACGTCGATGGCCAGTGGGTGTGCAACGCGTTAAATCAGGCCTATCCTGCTGACAATGGATTTTTGGACGATTTCCAGACCGTCGGATTCACTGTGAAGGCCCTCGTGAATGATAGCGACCAATTCGATCAAAATTCGTCCCTGCTGTTCCGGTAGGTGAATTCCTTGTATTTCTTTCATAAAGTGGGACTTGACGCAAGCACGCGGATAGGCTTCGGCAAAGGGGTGCATGGACCAGTATGTCCGTGATCCAGGGCCGAAAATAGAGGCGGTTTTAGCGGCGTATTGTCAGAAGGAGTAGTTTGACCTTCTTCATGTTCGATATTTGAGTAGCGGGACACAGTGAGTCTAATGACACATACATGGTTCGCACTTCCACGATGCATCTTTTCGAAAGGAACTAGAAACCCTTCAACCGAATTTCAACCATGTATCACGTCCATACAGCTGTCCATATACGAATATTTTCATGGTTAACTATCTTCTATATATTAATACAATTGATTCGCTCGAGCCTTCCGTTTCCACGAACTTCATCCATCTAACACGAAATGAAGTTCACAATGGCGGATCTCTTTTGGAGGATACTCGGTACCTCGGCATCGTTTTGCTGATCATGAATTCACCGAGGACTTTTAGGAACTCGAACCACTGCACGTAAAAGAATGTCAGACTCGTGACTCTCTCCGACACTTCTCTTCTCGGACATTTTGTTGGCTGAGCAATAATAAATACCTTCCGACATTCAATGACGACTTGCATCCTGCAACGACAGTGCCGACTTATCAGTACTACTCTACGAGCAAAATGTTACTTCGCCTTCTGACTCCTCCCGCTTGCCATTTTTTGTCTCACCGACTCTCGTGAAGATCTGAGTGCAATCACGGCGCTTCGACATGCTTTCGACAAGTGGTATGATACGTTTGCCTCCATCGAGGGAGCTTCCAATGCTTTCGCCAGCAACGTTGATATTTCTCATGCCAAGGTAAGTTATGTACCATTAACGTCTCCACCCTACTCTTCAATGGCCTTGTCCAGGCTGTGTATAAACGGACGTATTGGTTCTAAAATCACAGGTTCAAGACGTTGTCAAGATTGTCTCCGTATGGTCCTCTTTATTCCGTTAAATTTCGGCTTCTCAATTCCAATACAGGACCATGTCATGTCCGATGCGTATGGAAAGTGGGCGTGTGATGCAGCCGTAGATTCTGTGCCTTTTCCTAAGGTTTCCTCCAGAGTGTCGTTTCTCGCAAGGACGATTTCCATACTGTAGGATATAGTTCCGACATGTGTCATCTTTTAAAAGGTCTCGAGAGGGATCGTTACCCATTCAACATGAAGTTCATGGCGTCTGTTCCGGTATGTGCCTCGCTAGTATCAGGCTGACGATATGGAACTTAATCCAAGTGCATATAGGTCACATACAAGGAGTGCATGGAAAACCGTTTCGAGACAACTAAGAAAATGCTTCAGACAGTTGTGGAGGCGTTCTGTGAGAACGAAAAGGCCCCTGAAACCATTTCTATCCAGAAAGGTTTCTCACTGACGCAATTTAGGATAACCTATATCTCGTTCTTATCTCCATTTATCTTCAATATATCACGTTGCGCACCACGTGGAGAGGGAGCAGAATGTAGGTTACTGACGTGTCGCGCTGTCAGGTCCATATCCATACGAAAAGGTCATCTGAGAGAGGTCTTTCCAGACGATGGCATGGTAGACAACGCGTGCACCTTGGATTCGCTGTCTGTCTTAGCACGACATCAAGTCTAGGTACATCCACCCGCATATTCGTAATACACGCAATTCTAGCCAAGATGAACCAAATGTCTATCATAAGCAAAGAAAGAAAAGAAGACTCATGACGACGATGAAGTATTAGATGGCGGGATCACAACTATATCAATACCGAGGTTGTTATCTATGAGCCTCCCATAATTGGCGGCGTTAATCAGCGAAATAAAACTTAATGTAAAGATTTATACATGAAAAAGTTCGTAAGACGGTTACAATAATTCAAGTAAACAATGTACAGGTGACCTGCAAGCCATTCAAGGTCTTCATAGCTCGGCCGCTATTGATTCCTCTAACGTGAATATGTTCGGATATTTTTCTACTCGTTCGTTCAACTTTCAATTCCTGGGGTTGGTCCTATGCAAAACGAAATGAGCGAAATACCATCTGATATCGAAGACTCCGAACGTTCGTTGTCGAGAAGACGAGCTCCTGAGCTCTTCCTATCACCCATGCACGGAAAGATCTTCTGCACATGAGACATTTCATTTGCTATAAATTGTTGTGATATTGTGACTAAATTTAACTGTAAAATGTGCAACGAATTGGCTTGTTTCGCACCGAGACGAGCAGTATATCAATTCTAAGCATCATCTGCATGCTTATGATTGGGAATACACATCAGTTCCGGGAAAACAAACAAAAGTCCTCTGGTAAGCAAGAAAGAGAAGAAGACGCATGAAATTATTATCTGAAATTATGGTTATGGACTGTAGTCCTCTTTTACAGAATCGGGGATGTAGTAACGTGGGTTTAGCGTATTAGCTTGGAACCGGATGGTTCTCCATCAACTTCAAGCAAAAGCGGGGGAACGATGAGGCAACTACTCATATATATCAACCTCTTTCACGAGCTCAGAGAGCGTAGATCAGCCATTGCAAATCATACCTCGCTGCAAGAAAAGGATTGGAAAAGGAAACACGATAAGAGACAGCAGCCACGTGAATGACGCGTCTGTGGCGGAGACTCAGATAAAGCGGAGATGAAAAGGTCTCGGACTTCACCGAAGATTGCCCCTTGTGCCTTTCCTTTCTTCCCTGCTCTGAATTCTATCGCACATTTGGAGTCAACATTCAGCGTGATTGGATAGCCCCGTAAGTGCTGAATAGAGTGCACTCCAATGATGCAGCTCTCTACAGCTGATCAAGTACGCAGTGTTAGCGTCAAAGACCCACGAACTGAACGTTAGTATCATAAGGTAATATATGACAGTGAGGTATTCCTTATTATTTCTGGGCATCACTGACGAAGTATCAGAGCTACTTGCCTTTGACATCTCACGTTTCATCAGTATGAATTTTCCATCCATTGTGTGACGTTTTCTGGCCGGTCAGTACTTCATAGGTGCATATATTTTTGGATAGTCCTGATAAATACATCGTCCAGCCAGGCCTTTGCAAGCACTTCAGGGAAGCCTTGTTTCGTCTGATTGATTTTCGTGCTTGGCGGTGTTGCACCTTTCCTAAACTCGCACTCTATTGCTCCCGAAGAACAATGTCGCGGCGATCTATCACAAATTAATCAAGAATGTTCAATTCCATACTAGAAAGTCTTCGAACTACCCGGGACCTGGCAATTAGCCACAGGCACTCTTTAGCGAGAAAATGCTCTCGAACGCGGATCTCGGGTATCACGGGCACGACTCATCGGCGGGTTGCATTTGTCGAAGTGACTGCAAGTACCTCATTTTCTGCTTGTTCGATGCCCTGAACGTCGACTAGATGCTTTGAATCTCCGTAATATATGAAAATGACTGTATGTGAAATTTACTTCCATTGGTCAAAGCCAAAGGCTCACATGATACAATGATAGACATCTACGGCTAAGGCCTGGCATCGATATGCAGGGACTTGTTTCGTTCCCATCCACCACAGTGCCTCGCATAAATGAGTACTCACCTCATCGATACAAATCCTCCCAACTCGTCAGGACGGTGCCGCCACCACCAATTCCCTCAACATGCGCTCACACAGAGGTAAACCGACGGACGAGGAAGAAGAAACGATGGAGTTACTCACTCATTCGCGATTGAGAAACAGATCATCGTTATCGAAATCGGATCTTGACAAGCCGTCTACCATTATACCCACTTCTCCGCCTATGGTGAAGAGCATGCTATTCGGCGGCACACCCATTGGAATGGTCGGACTTCTATTTGCTGCAGGGTTAACGGCAGAGATACATCACTTCTTTCTTATCTTTCTACAAGGACGCGATGCACAGGGACAGTTTCGGATCAAGAAATCCTCCAACGCGCTTAGCACCATCGTACAATGGCTCTGTGCAGGCTCGATTTCTATATCACTCACACAGATCGTAAGTGCATTATCCTTCAAATGAGCGAATGAGCTTACGATTATGATAGATTTCGCTGTTTCTATGCCACACGCCCTTCAGCGTCAAACAGTTAAACCGTTTGTTCGGATTGCCAGATCCTATCAAGACTCTACGTCTCGTCTCGTCCTGGCGGATATTTCCCATCATTGTTACCTTCATACCATACAAGCCCTAACCCTTGTATCCATCCTCGCACCTAATGCCCTCGAAGTCCGCTCAGCTTCTCCGCGAAACGACATCATCTCCGTCCCAACAATATCCTTCGATAACAGGGATGGCTGGACAACAGGTTCGATGACTACGTGTACATATACAGTCACCGTTGCCTGGGAACGAGTCCTTTCGCGCTCCTTCCAGTCGGACACGCTCATCGGATGGAATGCTCCTGCAGGATGTGGGAGTGCCTGCAACTATACGATCGAGTACGCCGCTCCGGCTCTACGATGCTTTGACATCAGCCAGGAGGAGATACTCGACGACGGCGATGGGTCTTCCGGCCCGTCTAACCCTTCTGCAGTCCTTCAGAGTAAATACAACACCACGGATACCGCAGTGTACAATGCCACGTCCCAGACTGACGTTAACGGGTGGAATC